AAAGAATTAAAAATGCCCCAAATTGGGAAAATGTTGGAAGCTATAATTCAAAATCACTGACCTAGATCTTTGACTAAATGAATCTAACATGGAAAAAAAATCACCAACTGAATTAATGAACACCCTGTTTCAAAGTGTTCTGCATTGACTTAGGTATCACACAATAATGCATTTTTGTGGTCAGGACTTGACCTGATGAAATTCGGGGAAGAAAAGAAAACTATATAATGATGAGCTCATTACCATGATCTCCCCATCCAGAGATAACTACTTAGATACTTTTTCTGTCTCCCTCTATGTATACACTATAATATAAAGATAATTTGTCATTGGAATAATATATTTCCAGTGTTGTGGCAGAAAGAAATAATCAGTAACACATTCAAATATTTGTATTGAAAAATGTAAACATTATTTCTAATAGCAAAAATCTGAACAAACTTCTATAAAATCTTGGGCTTTTTTTTTCTTTTCTACTGCATATAGAATCCAGGGCTTTTGCACTGAGCTACATCCCAACCCTTCTTTTATTTTGAAACACTCTCTTAATCACTAAACTGTCCAGGCTGGTCTTGAACTTTTGATCATTCTGCCTTAGCCTCCCAAGATGCTGGGATTACAGGTGTGTACCACCATGCCTGCCTGCATCCAACAAGTTTCAGTGATGTAAATTAATGCATAAAAGAGCATCTTATGCTTTGTATATGAAATTTTTAATGACAAAAAATACATAAAATTCTTTGTTTCTTATGTTCCACATATGAACCTTGAGTTATGAGACAAAAAATGTAGAAAAATAATTTTTTTAATGTAAGAAAACTCATCCTGTTTAAATATGAGTACATTTTAAATGCAGTCATTATTTACATGTGAAAGGCAGGACTTGCCAATTCTGCAAGTTATAATACTTGCAGTTTTCCAAGTTTCGAATCAATTTTATTTTCTTTACATTGAACCTAACAAAACATCTCCATGCACATTTTTATTCCCTCTCTGTCTCTCAAATTTTAAAAAGAAAGATCAAGCAGGCTTGAGAGTACCTATTTATTTTCCTTCAGAGTTGAATATGAATGATTCTTCTTTGCCAGCATTAAAACCATAGAGGATTAAGTATTTTTCAGAAGAAAATGTTAAATTGAAAGATTTTTATCTAAGTAATATTATGTGACTGCAGCGACAGTAAGAATTATTCATATCTAGCCTGTCGGGCAGCACAACAGGTGACATGAATTATGGATAATGTTTGTTTCGGTCAAGTTCCTGAGAGCCCTGGGAAGCCAGAAGCTAGAGAGCCTGGGGCAATACAGTGTTGCAAAGCTGTTCTTTCACTGCCCACATAATCCCCAAGGCTTTATTTCTTCAATTGTTTTTCTCTGTCTAGTAAATCCTTTGTGTATTAATTAGTTAAAAAATTCATGGCCCTTTTACTCTAAATTCGAACTGAGTGAATTATTGGTACCTGACCAATTCATCTCCCTGAGATTGCCATGCTATATTCGTAAGCATAATTTGCAAAGGAATCCAAGAGACTCTTCTGGTAGTTGGACATGGAGTTTCAATCAAACTAAGGAGTGATGTTTCTCCCAGCCCCTCAACTCCTGTGAGTGGCACGTTCGTGTCACTAGGGACTGCGTCCCTCACTGGGGTTTCCGTCTGTGCTGCCCGAGCCCAGCCTGATTATCTGACAGGGGCAGACTGCTGCTTGGCATGGGTGTGCTTACTCTGAGGGGGACAGAAGCCCGGAGAAGCCTTATGGAAAATGACATGTAGGATCGACATCTTGAGAATCTAACACCTAATTCTAAAAATTATAACTTCAAATGGTTCTTTAAGACAATCACTGTTGGGGGGGCACCACTGTGGGGCAGCTCTTGGTAGGCTGAGGCAGGAGGATGGCTGTGAGTTTGAGGCCAGCTTGAACTCCACAGAAAGACCCTGTCTCAAAACTCTTAACAGAAAGAATATCATTGTTGACTTTTTTAGGCCAGTCAGAATATTTTCCGTTTTCATGTCAGCAACTGCTTTGGAAGGCCTTGAGAGCTTGGGCCCTGGATCCCAGAGATAAAAACAGGTCCCAGTGCAGAGGAGGCTGGCGAGGTTCCTGCTGCTCAGTGTCTGTCCCCACTGCTGGTGTGGATGGCACTGCTGGCCGCCACTCTGCAAAGGCTGAGTGATCCCACTAGGGCCAGGACTGTTCTGTGTGCAACAGGGTTCCTGGGGGTCCCCGAGGGACGTCAGACCACGCAAGTCCTATTGTCACCCGAGTTCCCTTGCTGGGGCCCTAGACCTTTACCAGGATGTCTGTTCCAGATGCTGTTTGTGGCTGAAAAGAAAAATCAGCTTGATGCGGGGGGGTGTGTATATGTGTGAGTTTGGGAGTTTGTAAGAGATAATGAAGTTACAGAGTCACCTTCAAGTGATACATTGTAACCAGCAAGTGTTTGAAATGCAAAACAGAGAAGTGATTTCTTTCAAGGCAGGAGAAAGGGAGGAAATAAAAGCGGTGAGAAGCTTCACTTTCTGTGGAGCTGCTGAGGCCATCTCTAATCACCCCGAGGCCAAGGAAGTCGCTTTCAGAATTACACAGACAATACTGATATTCTCCGGCTTTTAGAGGGGAAAGGGTTTGTATTTAAAATGGATGACAAAGACCTATGTGCACCCCCGTTATCCTAACCAGTATTCCAGCCATAGGTGTTTGAAAAAGGTTGTGTATCCCTGCGTTGAAAGAAGCAGCTCTTGCCTTGTCGGAATGGCATGCTGGCGGACTCACCACCCTTAAAATAGATGTCACGTAGGGAAACTCGAAGGAATCCGAATGGCTTTGTTGACTGGGAGAGTGTTAGTACTTCCTGGCAGCCTGATGGTGCTAAGAGCCCCCAAAGAAGGGTCGCTATTGCTGTTTAATTGCCTGAAGGAGCAACACGCCTGAAGGGCTCATTTATCATGGTCCACTGTGGTTCACTCCCTGGGACCCTCTCTCCCATCAAGCGTCCGCTACTGGCTGCTGTTTTCAGAGTCTGGATTTAAAGCCAGCTCTGCCCTCCGCCTGTAGGCACAGGCAGCCGCTGAATCTATTTTTTTTTTTTTAATGAGGTTTATCGGTACATTTTAGTGTACAATGAGCTGACATCCATCACTGGGATCTTGTACCTTTACAGGATCTATCATGGTTCTTATTTTTCCCCATTTCCCCTGCCTTCAACCCCTTACCCCTCCTTACCTACGAACACTTTGTTTCCATGTTTTCCTCCTCTTGTATTTCTTTCTTTGCTTTCCCCTATCCCTCCCCAGTCTCTGAATCTTAAGCAAAGCTTGCGACTTACTGAGTAACCTGTGTCATTGGGCGGGCGCCCCGGTCTCTCGGGAAGTTCTCGGGGGATGAAGGCGCAGTGAAGCCGTTCTCTCATTTCCCCACCGCTGCCAGGCCCTGCACTCCGTGCAGACCCGGAATTCCTGACTCACTTTCCACTTACCCAGGTCCCCGATGCGAGCATACTTTCAGTGTCAGTGTAGAGCTCTACTTTTTAAATTTTACCATCATTCGTCACTGTTCATTCTCACTAAAATGAAATCCATAGTGCCGCGTATTTGTCTAGAATAGCCTAAGTGCGAACAATCTGCTAAGTCATTTGCTCAGTGTAACAGTAGGTATGCCACATTTTAAAGATGAAAAAGTCCATCATTTGTAGAACAAACATGGGAATCAGAAAAGCTCAGCCTGTGCGTTTGGGGGATCCAGCGGACAGGGCTGTGCATAGCACCCCCAGGGTAGGGAGGCTGAGTCCCTGCTCCTGTGAAGGTCCCTGTCTGTCTGCGGTACCGGTGGCCTTGACCAGCGGGAGGACAGAATGGCCAGCCTGGGTGGGTTGACTTTGCAATCAGGTTTGGCATTAAACTCCGGCTTTTCTGTTGATAGGCTGTGAGGCCTTTGGCTTGTCACCCTGAGCCTCAGTTTCCCCATTTGCGAAAGGCACTCGGTTGTTCCCCACGTCCGAAAGTACCTACCACTCAGTGACAATCAGTGCACCTCGTTCTCTTTCCCTGCACACGGAAGAGCAGGGGAGTAGGGTGGAAGCTGCAGCAACTTGGCAGCCACAATTTTCAGCAAAATTCTTGAAAATCAACTGGTCTACCCTGGAGAGTTAGAATGAGTTCCGAGAGAAATCCTGGCCAGGAGAGAGGCAAAATTCAAGAAGTCCCGAGCAGGCGCCTGGTGCACACGGCCAGTCCAAGGTGACTGTGCGTTGATTTGGATTCGCTGAGTTAATGGGAACTTTTTCTTTTATCTGACCCAAAATCCAATCCGTGATTTTTAAGAAGCTGTGTAATCAATACTTTTATTGATAGGTGACTTTTCTTTAGCTAAAATCATTTACTGTTACACTGCTTTGAAATTCTCATTAGCTTAAACAATAGGAAAGTGACATTTGGAATAAATTCAATTAGCCAGAGGCCAATAGATACTGACTGTGAGAAATTAGAGTGCTCTTTAGTGATCCAAAGACCTCTGCTATAGATAGATGTTCATTAAAATGAGCTTAAAATATTATTGAAATGATGAAGAATTCAGTGGCTCAGTGAGTTTTAAAGTGATCCCGCTCCTCCCCATAGCCTTGTAATGTTTTCCAGATTTACTGAGCTAAATAGTCAGACTCCCTCTACCTAACCCTCCGACTCTGATAACCTGAGGAGGGACGTTTCCGTCACTGTCCCCCAGTTAAATTCTGGAACAGGCCAAACCTTTGGGTCATTTTGGAGACACATATATCAAATAGACAATGGCACCAGATTGGGGATAAACTGTAGAGTAAATAATCAGTAATAATAAGATGAAAATGATTTTTTTTAATTCACAAAGTAAAGTTTCTCAATAATTAGGCGCTATAATCTTCAGAAATATTTTGTAAAGATTTTGAAGCTATGTCTTGGTAGTGAAAGTATTCTATGAAGGTAGCAATTTTATAATTGCTTTTTCTTTTTTCTCTTCTGCATTTCAGGGTCAGCCTGGTCCTCAGGTAAGTGAACTCTTTTCTCACCAATTAACTCAGGGTGGAGGTTTTTCCACAGCAGTTTTCCAAGAAAACAAGAAAGCTCTAAACTGACACTCATGCCTCGAGGAGCAGACCTCATGTTTCCCACGAGTGAAGCTTCGGGCCCCACTGGGGCTGTTGGCCCAGAAGGGAGTTTTACTGTGTGCCCTGCTGGCGAGCTGAGCCCTTAACTGATCTGGGCCAGGGCCATGGGGCTTTTGCAAAAGGCAGGGAGACTTAGTGTCGGGCATGGACTGGTTTGCATTAGGAAGGTCCTGATTAATTGTGTACTAATAATGTCGTAAATCCACAACAGGACCCAAATCTGATTATTGAGACAGTGCTCCTCCTGGCTCTGTTTGATTTATTACAGACGGATATTGACTTTGTTCTACATTTTCCATAGAAGCCAAGTGCTGCAGACATGATTTATAATTAAGCATGAAGCAGTCAACAGGAAATCTTTGAGCTCTAAATCAGATTGAAGAAAATGAGCAAATTTTGAGATAGGGCAGAATGTGTATGAAAATGGAAATACAAAACAGAAAAGAGAGTCTAGAAACAGGGCAACAAACCCAGACTCAATTTTCAGTACTAACTGTGCTCTTAGGATGCTATTGGGAAGAAATTACAGTGTTGATATTTTACCTTGAACCTTGTAATAACTGTGAATAATGCAATAATGTATTGAACTCCCATCTTTTCACCTGATGTACTGAATGCTACTTTTTCCTTAAATTGTTTATGACTAAGCCAATTCATGATAGCTTTGCAGTCAGGGGTATCGGTTACGTGCTCTTCCCAATACTGGACCGCAAGAGCATGATTTATAGATCTCAGCTCTCCGGAGAAGGATGTCTAAAAAAGCTGAGCAGAAATTTCTCCACACTCCCCAGGAGTGCAGTTCTCTGCACACTAAGCTCATGAGAATAAGTTTCGCCTTTAATTAATTTGAATCGATATCCAAGAGTATTCTCATTATTTGCCATTTCCACATACTCCCAGTGTGAAGTAATTGTTAAAGGAGGTGGTTAGAAGAAGGTGGCTATATCTTGTTTCCTAAATTTGACCCCGTTGGTTTATTGTGAGATGAAGACGAAAAGGCTCCTCGCACGTCTCATTCTATTCACATTCCGTGTGTGTGCACAGTCATACGTTCAGGGAAGACTAAGCTGGGAGAAGTCAAGGCCAAATCAGGAACCCTGCTCTCCCTCTTAACACAGAGCCCTTGAGAGCAAAGGTGGGATAGCAGCTGGGGGTGTGGCGTTTGAGAGAACATTATGATCTTTAACACATTTTAGGTTCATTTAGGGTAAAGCAGTTCTTAAGGATTTCGGCGCCAGTTGTTTGGAAGATGATCCCAAGAAACAGGAGCAAGTGGAAAAACACCATCAGGGCGCAGGCACACTGCTGACCACTGTGGACCACTGAGGCCCAGTCCCCCCAAGAACACACGCGGAGCTATGCAGAGCATGTCCCAGAGTCCGCCCGCGGAGGGCAGGGGGCAGATTGTGGTCCACTACTTCCCTGTGCGGGTGTGGGCTCCTTGGCACTTACGGCCTCACAGAGTCCCTGCACGCTTCCTCTGCTACAGGAAGGCAGGAAGCTGCTGAGATGAGCAGGACTGGCACCCTGGCCCTCTCAGAGCAGGGCTGTGGCATAGGTGCACACCTGCGTCTGCTCTGACATCCACCCGCACACGTCCTATGGACAAAATAGTGGAAAATTCAAATGTGAGTGTGAAGACCTAGAAAACTGGACATAAAGACAGCATTTAAAAGCCTATCAGTAATAGAGATACGTTTTTAGAAAAAGGAACTGTAAGAAGTAAAGCACAAGCATAGTAAATCTTGAGGAGCGGCCCAGTAAATGGCTAGAAGGAAGAGGATAAGCCAGCGTAGGCCGAAGAACGGACGCAGCCATGCTCCCTGTGGGTGAAACCGGGACATGGATCTTGGACCTGGAGAATCCCTTCATGCCAGGGCTTAGTTCACTGTGGTCCTTCAAGACACAAAGCCCAGCTGACCCTACACTTGAAAGTTTCGGAAATTTGCGAGGAAGATGGGACTGGCATTTCCAGATAGCGTCCTCCTCTTGGTTTTCTTTGTTTTCACTGTGAGTCTGCCTTTGGGGCCAGTCGGGTCACATGATTGTTGGACACACAATGTCTTGGCTCACACCAAAGCTGCAGGAAACCAGTGCTCAGGATGTGTCGGGGTGAGCGGAAGTGTGGCCCCGAGAGAGGCGCTCACACTGTCCTCCCAGAGCACAAAGTCCGGGCAGTCCTGGCTCTTTGTCCCTAAGGAGGAGTCTAGACTGCCTTGCAGGGCTATGTCATTGTCATAGAATTTGTCCAGGGAAACCCCACTGTTACATTTTAACTAGCTTGTAATAAATTTTAAAATTTTGTGTGGGGTTATCAGTAGCTCTACTCAGATTCTTTTACAAGTTATAGATGAATAGTGTATAATATTTCATGGGGCATATATAATAGCGATATATATTACTATAAATATGCCCGTCCGTCTGTCTTATTTTCACCAAGACAGGTACATATGGCAGTGTGTGACTTTTCCATCCCCCAATCTATTCTTTGGAAATATCTTGTCGGGGGGGGGGGAAATGTGGACTTCCAACAAGATTTTAACCCTAAGAACAAATTTTATCTATCAAAAATAATAATACTTGGAGATGATCTCCATAATGGATCTGATTACCAGCATGTGAAGAGTTACTGTATTTCAGACAATTGTATTTTACATTAACATACTATAAGTCTTTTTTCTTGACTAAACTTATATAAACTGTACATTAAATCTGTTTAACATACATCTATAGGTACAGTATGTACAACAAATAAGCAATATACATTTAAAACCCAGATTGTGAAACTTTAATGGGCATTTTTAATGGTTGAAAAGATTTTTATTTGGTCAAATAAGGCATATAAAGTATTTTTATAGTATTAACAATTCTGGGTATATCTTTTCTCTTTTTTCCTTCTTTTTGTGACTTAAAATGAGTTTTCCACTTTTCTAGTGGCAACAGTCATAATTTCCATGATTTAATCAGACTTTTGATCTAACACTTACTTGTGGTCACTTGCATGGTAGTCGGCGTACAAGACTTACCTGCGCGTCCTCCTGCCCATCCTGTGCCTCTTCAGTGCCTGTGCTGGCTTGGTGGAAGGGCATGAACAAGACTTGGAAGTAACCTTCTCCTCTTTCCAGTCTTCCTTGTGACATTTCAGCAAGGGAAAAGAGAAAGAGAGCTTCCTGTGTACACAGGCTGTCTCCAAACAAGTTCTGCACTACCTGATTCTCAAACCCAAGTTTCCCAACCGTCCCCTCCCTGAGTCCTAGCCGGTCCCCAGTGGCTCTTAACTAGTCTAGTACTAATTTAACTAGTCTGCCTATCCACAGACCAACTACACTCTCTTTAGCTGGCTGTGATTGTGAGGGCTACATTTCTAGAAACTCCAGCTTTCAACTTTTGGCACATTTTTCATTAGGGCACTACTACCAGTACCAGTCTGTTTCTGTTATGTAATAGGGATATTTTTAGGTATATTAGAAATAGGCTTTGTGGACGGGACTGGAAAAAGAAACCATATTTATATCATAAGCCCTCTGGGAAAATATAATTAGATTTCCAAATAACTGACTTCCAAAAAAGTCATAAAGTTTTGATTTGGGGGTTTGTTCATCCTTTACAGTTTTCTAAAATATTGGGCAGAATTATAATTGGCAACTTGGTGTTGTGCAAATGCTTGCGTGGGGTAGACGTGCCACTCGTCTTATTCCTGCTATCGCAGAGCAGAGGAGCGCTTCCTGAGAGAAGGAAAAGTCAGTTCCACGCCTCTGTGTCACGTCGTTTCATAAGGGCTTCCAGGTCATGAAGGCGTGGCTTTGAAGACTGGTAGTAAAAAGGGAAGCTTTCTACTCACCAAGAAGCTCTCCTTGTCTTCCTGAAGCTGAAGACTGTTTCGAAGCTGCCAGCGTCGACTGTTAAAATTGTAAAGACTGGAATGTAAGTGTCAGCGGACGCCATTAGTCACAGAGTGAAACTGAGACGAGTGGACCTCGGGAGAGATGCGGAAGAAGTGGTTCTCCGCGATGGACGCTTCCAGTAGCTGTGGCTGAGATGGAGGAAGCAGCAGGCATGAAGGGCGAGGGTGTTGCTAGGAGCTGAGCGAGGAGCGGGGCATGAGATTCTCAGAAAGCAAAAACAGTGGACTGGGGTGACTGCTGTCTCCACGGCTTGACAAGATGAGGAAAACAAGTGAGAACAGAGGATAGGGACGGAAAGAAGAAAAGGAATTAGGAAAATGTGAGTATTTGTATTTCAAACTAGAGAGGAGAATTATTTACTCTATCAAAATGGAATCATAAATTCTGATTTTTGTTACTAATTCATATTGGCGAAATTCACTCATCTGTTAAACTTCTAGTAGTACAAGGCACAAAAAAGCAACAAAATTGTGGTGAACAAGACAGACTTTTAAAACGGTGTCTTCTTTTAAAATACGAATTGATGAAGATCAAGTATATTTGAGATGTGCAATATGATGTTTTCATGCACATGTACGTTGTGGAGTGACTACAACCTGATCATACCTGTCACCACCTGTGCACAGTGCTACATTTCCAGAATTTGTTCATCGTGGTCGGGGGGGAGAGAGACAGAGACTGACCAACTGACCAGGTATTAAACCCAGGAGCACTGAGCTATATAATTTGCCCAGGTTGACCCCAAACTTGCAATCTTCCTGCCTCAGCCTCCTGAGTAGCTAAGATTATGGGCATGCACGACCACACCAGCCTTTGTTCATGTTATAACTGCAGATGTGAACCCTTTTACCAACACCTCTCCATTTCTGCCACCAGGCCCAGCTCTGTGATCCTAGAAGTTCAGCTTTTTAAGCTTCTCTGCATAAGTGTATGAGTGAGATTGTAATACACCTCTGTTTGTCCTGAGTGCTGTTT